TTTATGGTTTTAGGGCTTAGGGTTTTAGTGTTTGGGCTTTAGGGGTTTAGGGTTTAGGGCTTGGGGGCTTCGAGATTGGGGTTTGGGGTTAGGGTTTCTGCTTCAGCTGCTGGAGGTCGACGCTGAGTCCCATCATCCTACGCCTGTGGAAACCTTGCGGAAACCGTCAGCTTCAAACGTCACACACAGCATTTCAGCTGATCCATGATTCCGAACTGATTCAACCTGAAAAACGTAACCTTGGGCCGCACCACTGGAGTCCAACTGCAGTACATCATCAAATGAGTATTGACGTCACGTCTCTTCTGCTACGAATGAAAGACAAATTCGACAATATTCCTGGAAATAAGCCTCAGACCCGGAAGCCAAAACCTGCACATCGTCGAAAGCAACGTCGACCTGAAGAAAATTCAGTGCCGCAGACAACGAACCCCCAAACAAGAACCCTTGTAGAACCCCAAACTAGAACCCTATACCCAAAACGCTAACCGAAAACCCTTGTTATAGACCCCAAACGAACACCCTAGCGGAACCGCACCCTGGAGTTAAACCCTAAGCTTGCAAGCCCATCAGCCCTCAAAGCCCTCCAAACCCTCTATACCCCATAAACCCTGCAAGGCCTACACCTTAGAATCTGGACCCTATAGAAAACTCTATAAGCCTGAGCCCGTAAAGACTACACCCTTATACAAAAGATTACCTACAGTATTCCTGCGGGTTCATTATTATAAAAATGTACTATTATGAAGGAGTTCAATTCATCTAAACCCGATTCGAATTATCAACGACCCTACATTAAACCCTAAACCCTAAAGCCCTAGACCCCAAACTCTAAACCCTAAACCCTAGATCCCAAACCCTAAACCCTAAACTAAACCCTAAAACCCTAGACCCCAAACTCTAAGCCCTAAACCCTAGATCCCAAACCCTAAACCCTAAACCCTAAAACCCTAGACCCCAAACTCTAAGCCCTAAGCCCTAGATCCCAAACCCTAAACCCTAAACCCTAAACCCTAAAACCCTAGACCCCAAACTCTAAACCCTAAACCCGAATCGCTGAGGCTCGTCGGGAAACCTGGGCTCTTCACGGTGATGGCTCCTCCGTAGGCCTCCAAGTCGAGGTGGAGCTCCTCCCGCCTGCGGGCAGAGTCTGCTTCGAGGACTTCGGCGTTTAGCGCTTTGTGGGCCTGGGTCTTGGGGTTTAGGGTTTAAGGTTTGGGGCGTTTGGGGTTCAGGTGTTCGGGTTTGAGGTCGAGCGTGTTGGGGTTTAGAGTGAAGGCTTTACGGGGTAGGGCTGTTTTAGAATCATCACTTGTGGCTTCTCTGCTGCTTTGCAAAAGGCTTCTGATGGTCGCAGACGCTATGCACCGAAAGGGAACCAGTACATAAAGAGATCTTGAACACATCTAGTGAAAAGGACTCCTTTCCAGAGTTGGGATGCCGGAAAACAAATGTCCGAAAACTTTGCCAGTAGGACATGTTGCAACAGAACTCTCGATAATTACACGATGTTACACATCGACATAGCCCCAACCCCTCCACAAATCCAAAGCCTCTGTCTAAAATCGTCAACCCAGGCCGTGACACCCAGACCTTCAACTGGAAACCCTCCCAAACTCATTTGAACCGTAAACCCGAACCACGAGTCTAGGCTTGAAACTTAGGGCTCGTGTTTGAGGGGCCACGTCATCAAGCTTGCGGATGCCTGAGATCCTGGATGACGATATGACCAAGGTTTTACAAGCAATAACGGATAGCGGGCTTGTGGCAAGCGCCCCTGCTTATGGTACCCTGGACCCTGGTATAGAACCCCAAATGAAAAGACGAAGTGTCCACAGAACCCCAAAAAGCAAGCACAAGCATCCTGACAATCAGGACCTCCAAAACCGGACCCTACGAGTATAGAAGCCTAAGTAGTAAGATCCTTACAAAAAGCGAGGATACGAGCCCTAAATCCTAAACCCCTAAAATACACCCAGGATCCTTATCAGAAATGATAGGATCCTTGAATCCAAAAAAAGGCAGGGATCCTGGGGCCGTTAACCCTTAAACCTCCAAACCCCAAACCCTGAGCCCCAAAACCCAGGATCCTCGTGCTCAAGAAAGCTCCTAGGGATCTGAACAAAACCCATCGACTTTGAACCCTGATCCCCTAAAAGCCTCAAACCCCTAGACTTGCCCTAAACTAACTCCCATTATACTACAAGTGGGTGCCGTAGTCTTCTGGGCCGGGCCTGAGGTCTCGGAGAAGGGCGGCGGAGCGCTCCACCTGGGGGCTTCGAAGGCTCCAACATCCCCAGGTGAAGGGTTTAGGGATTAGGGTTGAGGGATCAGGGTTTAGGGTTTAGGGATTAGGATTTAATGTTTCGGGATTGGGTTTAGGATTTAGGGTTTAGGGTTTAGGGTTCATGGTTCATGGTTCATGGTTCATGGTTCATGGTTCAGGTTGGGGTTCAGGGCTTTGGGTTTGGGTCTTAGGGCCCTCAGCGACACGCCTTTCCGGAGATGTCACTACTTTAGGACCTGTCAGGATGGTTGCGGGGCGTAAAAATTCAAGTCTTCGGGTTTGGGGCCCCACTTTAAGACCTGTTTCTAGGATGGTTCTCGGGGCTTAAATTCAGTTCAAGTCTTCTTCATGTCCAGCTACGCGATGCCCACGGGCGAGGGCCGAGACGAGGGCATTGAAGGCCACAGCCTCGGGTTGGAAAGACATGGGTCTGAATGATTAAGGTTTCAGTGTAAATCTTAGGGTTTAGGGTTCAGGGTTTAGGGCTGCTGCGACTTGGCTGGCATTTTCTTTCCTGGATTTAGGGTTTAAGATTTAGGGTTTAGGGTTTAAGATGTGGGGTTCCGGTCGGGCTGAAGGTTTAGAGTTTAGGGCTTCATGAGCTGTCAAATATATATATATATATATATGTATGTATGTATGTATGTGTGTCTATACCGCGTATGTAATGAAATTGCTTACGGATTTTACTGTGCTTGGTTGGCAAATTAAAAGGCGCTCATGATACAATACTGCTTAAGGGTCCCCATGAATGTGTTTAAGGGGATCTGAAGGGGCTTTAAGGGTCCTGTGCAAACCTGGTCCGGCAACGTAATGTTCATCTTTCATGAACAAGATGGCCTAGGAAGACTAGAAGCTCGCAACTGGTTCCCCGCATGTCACGCGAAAACAGGCTTCAACATGAGACAGAGGATGTACTGAAAAAGTCGTCGTGTGACATGACATGATGTAAAGGAGAAGAATTTGAGACAGGGAATGAGTGTAAGAAAACAGAAAAGGACATGCTATAGGATAGCAACACATGTAGCAAGGCAAAAAGTAGGCGCAGTTATCCCCCCATGTGCTAATACTAGAATAGTACTGCGGGCGGCCCTCTTGGGGGAATGACTGTTCCGCTAAACACTCCGGCTGCTTGGCTGCTTCATCCTCACACCCGTCCCTCCCATTAGTCCAACTCCCCACCCTAATCGTTTGGCCGCGGTTCCGGGGGGGTGGAGTATTATTCATCAGGCCCACACAGCATTCGGATCCATGATTGGATCCAGCATTTGTTGAAACTCCCAGATATTTCGACGAGGGTCCAAGCTTGGGCTGTTCTCTACGAAAATTCTGAACATTCACAGGAAAAGACCACCCTTAAACCCATGCCCCCTAGAACCCCAAATCCTTTACACCCTAAACTCCTAAACTCCCAAAGCCCAAACCGAAAACTTAAACCCCCAAGCCAGCCAGGAAACATGAAACCGGCACTACTTTTTAACAGCGAGAATGAAAACGCCCGATCGATCACTTGGCTTGCCGACCGAGGGTTCGATACCACGCTGGCGCAGCTCCTGCCGGATGCTGATTCAGGGCTTGAAGTGTCGGGTTTGGTGCTGTAGGGTGGTAGGAGCTTCAGTGTGGGGTTTCAGAATCTCGGGGTCTAGATGAAGTTTGTAGGGTTTGGGCATTTGCCAGAGGTACCAAGTCAGCCATAAAACCCCAAACCCTAAAGCCAAGTCAGGCCTAGTGTGGCATGTCGAAAACTGGACATCCCCCCGGAGCACACGAATGAAGGTATGGGAGACTCAGAATTTCAGAATATAGGGTTCAGGGATTAAGGATTTGAGAATTTCGGGACCTGCGAAAGAGACACTGAATTTCAGTAAATCCTAGCAGCCTCCGACAGGGGATCGACGCCCCCAAAAGGCTGCCATGCAGGCTCCCCGTGAGGAAAAGAATTTCCGCAGCGACCCGAATGCGTGATCCAGACATACTGCATCGCAATAGTACTCATGATGAACCCCATGAAGTGTCCTGAAGCATGGCATGACAGTAAGAACAGCAAGAACAAGTACGGCGTTGCGTGGATTAGGCTCGGCGAGGCGTCCTCTACGCGAACGACGGCGTCCCTGAGGCCAGCGTCTCAGTTCGGTGATGTTTGGCATGGCTCCAAGGGATTTAGGTTTAGGGGTTTTAGTGTTTCGGGTTTAGGGTTTGCTTGGGGTTTCGGGTTTAGAGTCTCAGGTACCCTAACAACTCAAGCTCGATGGTATTCGCTATGGACGGCGCTACGCTTTATCTCAAGTTTTGAGGATCCCCATACTCATAGACCACATTTCTTCCTGGCTCAAGTCTAAACCCTAAATAAAACTAGATGTGACCATATCATGCGGTATTATACTATATGAAACGACATCAAACTTTCTTACTCCTCGTTGGCACACTGTGTGAAAAAGGGCGTAAATAATTATCAATACCATTTTGGGGTTCCTTGTTGTAAGTAGAATATACCGCCAAACCCTTTCAAATTAGACCCTAAACCCTCAACGCGAAACCCTTTCTTTAGTTGATCGTTTTGTCTCCACATCCTCTGGTCCAGCCATCCCTTGCTATGAAGAAGTTGGTGGCAAGTGCTCGGGGACTACTATAGTATGATACAGTACAATGTAGACTTGGACAGCTCGACTGCTGTCACGTCAGCCCTCCAACAGTGTCATTCTGTGCATTCGCATGAGTACACCGCCGCAAGGTCGTGCCTCCATAGGGAGCGATGCCTCAGAAAACAAGTTGGGACATCGGGACAAATACTTCGTGATAATATCTCTCTGCTGGTTAGCACAACCAATTCCTAAAATTTCCAATATGTTTGACCTCTGCCACTGCCCCTGCTAGTGCAGCTGCTGGTACTGCTGCTGCTGCTACCACTGGAGCTGGTGCTGTTGCTGTTGCTGGTGCCGATATAGGTACTGCTACTGCGACGGCCACTCCTTACCACTGCTCCCACGCATCAGTCATCAATGCGGGGTGGTACAGGGAGAATGCACACAACGACATGTTGACAAGGAAAGACTCATGCTTTCTGCAGAAAACAAATCGGCACCGGCCTCATGGGATTCACTCTGTTGCTGGACACAGCTTGATATAACCACCATGCTCAGATAACTAAACCCGGTAAACTTACAACCTCGAACCCTCTGGTCTGAAGTAGCCCTAAACCCTAAACCCTAAACCCCAAACCCTAAACCCTAAAACCTACATATGACTGCAGCTCCGAAACCCAAGCGCGCCGACTTCGCGGGCGAGCTGGCGGCTGCCCACCGCGGGCTCCATGCACAGGGGCAAGGCCCCAGCGATTCAAGGCATACCGGCTGACACCTACACTATACTACACTACTCTACACTGTACTATGCGATACGATACTATACTATACTACACTATATGATGCTATACAATACAACACATATACTATAGTATATACTGTACTATCCTATATACTATACTATATACTATTCTATATACCATACTATATACTTTACTTTAAACTATACTATATACTATACTGCATACTATACTCTATACTATACTCTATACTATACTCTATACTATACTCTATACTATACTCTATCCTATACGCTATACTATACTCTATACCATACTCTTTACTATACTCTATACTATACTCTACAAAACTCTATGCTCTACTATACTCTACTATACTCTACTATATATATATATATTACACTATACTACACTACACTATACTGTACAGTTCTACACTATACTATACTACACTACACTATACTATGCTATACCATGCTATGCCATGTTATACTAGACTATACTATGCGCTACTATAGATATGATATGCTATGCTATGCTATACTATACTCTACTATACTCTACTCTACTCTACTCTACTCCACTATACTATACTATACTATGCTATACTATACTATACACGATACTTACTATATACGCGACGCGAGACTATACTATACTATACTATACTATACTATACTATACTATACTAAACTATACTTTACTCATAGTAAGGAACCGCCCCACTTCAAGCATCTTCCCCCTTCCCCGGTTTCCTGTCCACACAGCGGCCATGACGCTGCAGGCAAACTGCGCTGCAATTGTTCCCTCCGTCCGCGGTTTTTGGTGGCTATATGGAAGTTGTGGCGAGAGCAAGTCTTCCGGCGAGCTGCACCGTAATGCTCGTGAAACATGAATCCTCTGGGCGGCGAGCCAGACACAACTATCATAATGAGCACCCTCGTAAGTGAATGGTCCAGATTCCTTCTTTTGACCGTCTTTTCTTCGGATGCTGTGCCACCGCTCCAAGTAAGTTGGGGCCATGCCAAACACAGTAGCACTTCTCTCTCTCTTCACCGTCATGTTTGGGGGGCGCGCTGGCTTTGCCGAGGGTGGCCAGCAGTGAAGGCTGTGCTAGATGCTAGATCAGGGGCACCTGACGAAAGAAGTGTAGCGGAAATGGTGGCCTTGTTCTGGTGTCTCTTGCGATAACTGTTGCACGGTTAGTCCCCTACACCTGATTGCAGCAATTTGGAGCTCAGTTCAAAGTTTAATTGGAGATAATAACGGGCCATTTGAGGCTCTCTGCAGAGATTCGCCAGAGGTTCGAAGACATTAACCCTACAACTCTGAACTGCTGGAGGCTGATATTCTCGTAGCTCGCTGGAGACGTGCAGATGCGGGTGCTCTTGGTCCTACGACTCCCTGCGGTTATGGGTCCTGATACTGAGGATCCTACTGTTACTAGGCCACACGCTCTTCATACACGCTCCACTGCAGGTGCACCCCCGGAGCGCACCCCCAAAGCTGGGTGACTGATCGGTCTAAGCTACCTCTCATTCTGGACTCCCGGTTTCCGCTCCCTTCACCATGCGGTGACGAGGAACTCACCAATGTGCCGCCGTCGTCGGTGGCTGCTTCGGCCTTCATCGCGATGCTATTAGGGTTTAGGGTTTAGGGTTTAGGGTTCAGGGTTTAGGGTTTAGGGTTTAGGGTTCAGGGTTCAGGGTTTTAGGGCTTAGGGTTTAGGGAGATTCTCGGTGGGACAGCTTGCGCCAAAGAAATGCTTTCACACTCTTGCTGCTGATCCTGCTGCTCGTCATACTCCTCGTCCTCACTATTGAAAATAGCAATTAAAAAACACTACTAAAAATAAGCAGAATACCAATAATGGTAATAGTAACAATAATCATAATACAAATAGTAAGTTTAATTAATCGCCAGGGTAACTTGCTCTAAGGAGCTCTCCGTCCCCTTTGATCCTCTTCGTCCTGCCCTTGCTTCGCACCTCCATCACAGCCACCCGACAGGACGACTACGGCTGCTTAAGCGGTTTCGAGATTTTAGGGTTTAGGGTTTAGGGCTCCCCCGTTGGCACACTTTCCACATGCTGACAACTAAGGTACCAACGATGCAACGACGTGCCACAGAACAACATCTGATTCGGTCACGCAAGATGCTGTAATACCCAGGAAGATACTGGCGATTCTTGTTCGCTGCAACGGCTGTGAGCACGACGGCGGCGACGACATCGCGCAAGACACTGATGACGATGGTGATGGTGACGGTGATGGCGATGATGACCGCGAAGGAAATGATGGTGATGATGATGATGATGTTGATGATGATGGCGTGTCGATGACGGTGTGATGACAATGACGATGACCGTGATGGAAACAATCTTTATCGCTGCCAAGATCATGACCGCCGTGATGTTCTCACTGGTCTGCTCCTTCCATCAGCGGCATGTCTTCCTTATCCTGTCGGTTTTACCAATGCAACTGCAATCCTTGCCACCGTGCTGCGATTACTGCTTCTCTGACAACGACAACCACATTGAAGACCACGACGATGCAAGCAACGATGTGGACGATGATCCACAAGCACCCCGAGGACGACTACTATAGCTGCTGATGCTACCTCTACGACTAAACACACTACTATAGCTACGGCACCAGCGACATCGTTCGAATCCAAGGAATGGGTAGAGGCAATGAGAAGCACAAGTCGTCACGCTCTTGAGTTTCAGGCCAACTGAGAGATCAAAACCAAGAGTTTAAGTAATGTAGGGGCCTTAATATTTAGAATAGGGTTTTGGGGTGTGCTATAATTACAATCAGGAAACCCCCAAAAAGGTGCTTGTAGTTTTTAAGCCCCTCTATCAAGCAAGAGCAGTCAAAGGTCTGCATCCTTACAAGACGAAGAGGGCAGCACCGAGCACAATTAGGCAGGGACCAACTGCTGCAAGCCAAACGTCACCCTCTTTCGAAATAACGAAGAGGCAGCAGTATCAGGAACAGAAACTACGTAACTGCTGAAACGTATCAAGCAACCCGACTGGTAGCATCCTTATCGCTGCCTCCAGACCCAACAAAACAAAGAGCGGTAGGTACGTCGCAGTAGTGTTGAGGTACAGCAATACCCAAACCCCCCAGGCACCTGGAATACAGGGCCCTAGGGGCTCTATAGTACCTTATACGGCAGGCACCTGGGGGGTTAGGGATAGGCTAAGAGCGCAGAGCCAACTACGAAGATGCCTGGCGGCACCCAGGCCAAGGGCAGCAGCAAAGAGGGCATCCTCCAGCTCAGACGTCCGTTCAGGGTTTCGGTTTTAGGGTTTAGGGCTTAGGGCCCAGGGGTTTAGGTTGCAGGGTTTAGGGTTTAGGGCCCAGGTTTCGGGTTTAGGTTTTCGGGCCCAGGCGGGGCCAGGGGTTTAGGCCTGAGGGCTGAGGGCTGCGAGCTTAGGATTAAAGACCCAAGCCTTAAGCTTGGCTCGCCTGCTCTGCAGGGATTTCTTGAGTTTGCCCTTCAAAGGTGAGGGCCCCCAGCCCCTTCTGGCCTGTTGCCGCGCCCCTCCCCAAACGCTAAACAAGAAAACCCCAAACCCCAAACCAACCCTAAACCCTAAACCCTTAACCCCAAAAACCCTGAACCCCAAAAACCCTAAACCCCAAAAGCCCGAGACCCGAAGCAAGGCATCATTTCAGCTCCAGGTCCCGGGTTGACCGGCATTGAACTCAGGAGAAAATCGGGGCGTGAATAATTTCAATTTCACTTAGGTTTAAGCTTCGAGTATATATACTGTACTCTAATGTACGATGCCAGTGTATATTATACTTCACCATACCATACTATATTCGGCTATACTAGACTAAGCTAAACTATACTATACTATACTGTGCCACACTGTAAATTACTAAACCAACTAAACTTTACTATACTATGATGGGCCTATGGGGGAACACTATTAACTTCAGACCGCTGTGGTACATGCCAGGCATCCAAACATTGACAGATCTGCTATTCACTCAATCACCCGTTAGTGCTCACACAGGAATGTCGGCACCGTTTGTGGGTTTAGGGGCGTCGAGTTCGGGGATGCTCACACAGTAAAGTCGGCCCCAAAAGAGGAAAAAGAGACGATGCTCGGCACTCTAAAGCCACGACATCTACCCAACAGCAGCACGCCGCAGCCAGAAAGCAAGAGGCCTCCCGAGGCCTGCTTCATAGTATGGTATCGTATAGTATAGCAAAAGCAACGGTATAGTTGAGTATAGTTTAGTATGGTATGGCATGGTACTGTATAGTATAGTGTGGCAAGGTGTGGTATGGTATAGTATCGTATAGTATAGTGTAGTATAGTATAGTAATAGTACAGTTTAGTATAGTTTAGTATGGTATAGTATGGTATAGTACAGTAGGGTATAGTATGGTATAGTATGGTATGGTATAGTATGGTATGGTATGGTATAGTATAGTAAAGTATAGTATAGTATAGTATGGTATAGTACGGTAGAGTACTGTATAGTCTGGTAGAATATGGCAAGTATAGTATCATATACAGCGTCCTCGCTTGCTGCATGCCACCGTAGGGATGCGTGCTGAGTTCCTGACATCGAAAGCAGGTGTTAAGGGCTTGTCCAACACCAGGGTTACCTTCAGCTTAGCGCTACCGCCTAAACGCACCTGGGCCCTAAATCCTAAACCCCAGAAATAAGACAGCCCTCTGCTGTAGACCCCTAAATCCTGAACCAACTTTACCCTAAACCCTAATCCGTAAACCCCAAACCCATACATCCTTACATCCTGAACTCGGAATAAGGGCCCAAGCCGCCAAAGAACGCAACGGCTCTCACCAGGTGTGGTTGTAAGCTTGCGGTTGTTCTAAAAGCAGGCTTTCTGTAGCGTGTATATATAGATATCGCTTTAGATTTAGATATAGGTATTAATATTATAGATATAGATATCTATCTATCTATCTAT